AATCTCAGAATTTATTAAATCGTGGATTTCTTCATGAGATTCTTTCGTAGTGTCATTTTGATCATTTGTTTTCCTTTTTCTAGGATTTCGATCTTTGGAACCTAATGGTCTGCCACGTTTAAGGCGTGCTTTTGACTCATTAGCTATGACACTAGAAGATTGTCCAATAGGGACATCAATACGGATTGGAACATTCTCCGCAGGGATATGTGATTTTGTTATCCTTTTCATATCCGTAAATGCATCTGGCATTTGATTTGCTATTCTCTGCAAATGAATAATCTTTTGCACCTCTTTTTCACAAATAGAGGCACGTGGATCAAGATGAGATAATGATGGATTTTTCCACAAAATTTCCCGTTTGGTTTCACCAACTTCTCCCCCTAATTTTGGGAAAAGTGTCTCATCGAATCGACAGTCTGCAAATCGTGCAGTAAACAAATCCCCCGTCAATGTTTCGAGGTAGCGAATAATGGAGGGCGATTCAAAACCAACATATATTCCTAACCTTCTTTGCGGACCCATTTTGGTGCGATATGGTGGTGCTACAGGCACATATACCGCGCATCCAAAAATTCTTAAATGGGATATATTAGGTTCATGACCCAAAACTAATTGCAACGGGGAATATTTATGATAATTTGTCGGTCTGAGACGAACTAGCATTGCTGCATGCAAAATGGCGTGACCCCAAACAGAAGTGGGTAACCTCGTTTTCATGAGTAACGGTCTTGCTATCAATTGCAGACGTTTAATTAAAGACTCTGCAAGGCCATTTTGAGTGTGAACATGAGCTACAGGATGTTCCACTTTTATCCCAATTGATAAGCAATAATCATTAAATGCTTGGGATGAAAACTCAGCAGCATTATCAAGTCTAATAGACTTAATTGGATTATCGGGGAATTGTGCCCGTAATCGAATTATTTGTGCCATTAATTTTGCAAACGCGAGGTTGCGTGATGACAATAGGCACACATGAGACCATCTAGAAGATGCATCTATTAAGACCATGAAATATCTAAACGACCCACTAGGTGGGTGAATAGGTCCACAAATGTCCCCTTGTATACGTTCCAAAAACGCAGGGGACTCAATTCCAACCTTTGTTGGTGATGGTCTAATAATTAACTTGCCTTGATAACAAGAAGTGCAAGAAAATTCATTATTTAAAAGAATCTTTAAATTCTTTAATGGATGCCCATTTGAGTTTTCTATAATTCGTCTCATCATAATTGATCCAGGGTGTCCCAATCGATCATGCCAAAGTACAAAAGTATTGGAATCGGTAACCTTTTGGTTTACAATAGAATGTGCCTCAATTGCACTAATTCTTGTCCAATACAGGCCACAAGACAAAGATGGGAACTTCTCAATAGCCCTTTTCTGGCCAGAGACATTTTTGGTAATGATGAGATATTCAAGATTATTCTCATCTATTGTCTCAATATGATATCCATTTCGACGGATATCTTTAAAACTCAACAAGTTCCTCTTGGACTTGGAGGAGAACATTGCATTCTCTATGATAAGTATTGTTCCCTTAGGCAGAGTTATAGTAGCTCTTCCAGAGCCTTCAATTAAATTACTACTACCAGAAATTGTAGTAACATCTGCCTTACACATACTTAAATGAGAGAAATATTTCTTCTCTTTGAATATTGTATGTGTCGTACATGAATCAATTAAACAAATATTTTTACAATTGAACTTTGATCCAAGTTTACCTGGAGAGATATCGACATTTGTTTGATCCATTGAATAAAGACTGTTGCACGTTTTCTAATCTTGATTCACAGTTGAAAAGTCTTCTAAGTCTTGATCAATTGTTGTTTGCTAATTCTTCTCTAAGAGGTAAGTGAAGACAACGAACACTACTGACTTACATACACAACCTTTCAGCATAGGCGCAACTGGATATTGAAAACATAAAACATGTTTCTTAATCTTCTTGAGACGGTAGAGTCTCGTGCTGATAACGTGTTATGAAACAATAAAAGAAGAAGAGCAGTATTGTAGAGAAAGAGAGAGAGGGAATTCTTATTGATTTGGGATGAATTACAATGGAATAGAACCCTCTATTATAGGGAGATGGTGACTTAGCCACCAAGTAATAAACCCTAGAATCTCTCTAAATATGAATTCTATTTATAACAAGTTATATCTATATTTTCGAGCTCACATCCACAAGGTCAAAATTCGTGAAAAGTTCTTTAAAATTCACCTGCAGACATTCATGATGTTTTCCAAAACCTTACCTCAAGGTTAACATTAGGATATGTACAAGGAACCGTTTGGTAGGATGCATTACAGAAAATAATGTATGCATTCATTTTTGATATTATTAATCCCTTGTTTGGTATACTTTTTCAATATATGTATTACTAATTTTGATATTATCCTATGTACAAGTAATATATAGCAAACCATAATATTAGCCATACTAAGGCTATTAATGCATGCATTAGTTTGGTTAAAGACAAAATTATTCTTAAAGTCCCTTAAAGCTAAATAATATGTATTTTAATTTTTAATACACATTACCAAACAGTGGAAAAAAAATAATCTCTACATAACTAATGCTATTAACTCATGTATTACTAATACAGCTTATTCAGTACTATAAAAAGTCAAACTTTGGATTATATTCAAAGTAGCCAAAAAGAAAGAATATTTTCATGAGAGGGATTCTTTTGTTGACAATGTCAAAAAACAGGAAGAACATAAAAAGGGAAAAGAAGAATACATTTATAGGAACATCTTTTTTGAACAGATTAATTTAGTAAATTAAAAAATACGCGTGCGGAAAAGCGAATATCCTTTTTGAAGTTTGGATCTGATACGAATACTACTTTTAATCAGTTTTTATTCTCTACAAGCTTCCAACAGCAAGTATCACTACAATTGGTAGAAGCTAGTCAGAGAAATAACACGTGTCAGGTTATAAATCTTCCACATAACTGCCTCTCTACATCGCCCAATGAACCCGCAGTAGTCAATCTTATTCGCCTTCTTCTATTTAAACCTCAAATTCTCACAATTAAAATCTCACTTTTCAAATAATTGACCGCTTCTTCGAAGGAGTTAAAAGAGAGGTAATTATATGAATTTTCTAATTCAAAACTTGCTTTATTCTGCAGTGTTTATTTTTCTCGAATTTTGATGTTGTTTTATGTGTAAAGATTGTTAATACCAATGAAACGTTCAGCTTTGCTTCTATTTTAACATGTAAAGAGAAATAAATACTTAAATAAAGTCGCACACTTTGGTCTGATTTCTATGGTTTATTATTCATTTGCTTTTTTGTTTTTCCTATTGTTGCTATCACATAGGCCAAGCTGGTTTAATTTTCTAGTTCAGTTGTATGTTTTATATTGTGAAAGAACTTAATCTGACACTACTTTTTCTATCACTTTTTGTAGATTTGATTTTTATTTCTGAGTATACTGCCAAAGTTGGGTTTTTTCCCCAGGTTTCTTGCATCTTCTTAGTTTTAAAGCGATATTTTGTTCCTTTATCTGTTTAACACCCAGTGATTCATGTCTCTGTTATGCTGCAAATCTTAAATCTTTTACCTGTGATCTACCTATGCAACTCTTTAGAGGTCAATCCAAGATCTAAAGGCAGGGGATATACCATTATATATATATATATATTGAAAATTTTTCTTTGAGTTTTCGATATAAATATATTGTCCAAGTTTGAGGTCGTTGGGTCGTGCTGGATCTGACTCTGCAACTGTTCAGAATGAGAAACTTAGTGCAACCTTTACTAAAATAGAAGTGGTTTAAGTTTTTTCCCGGCCCGGAAAATTACATGACTATCTTTCGCCTTTTTCTCTCTCAATCCACTTGTACATTGGATCAAATTGGACACGGATGTTTCATCTAGCTAACTTTAACTTTTTTTAGATTGATGCTTACTTGATTGATAATGTTGACTTATTAATTGGAGGAGAATGGATACAAATGATTCATATAGTAGAATAAGACTAATTTAGGGTTCAGGTTACTTGATTGATGTATCTCCAACTCATTCATTAGAATGTACTAGACAATTTGTTTTTGCAATAACTCATCTAATTCATAAGAATGTGGCTTCAAGCTTGCTGGGCATCTCGTATTTCTAACTTCTTTCCTGTTTTTTTCCCCTTAACCAACTATTCTCTGCATAATTTAGTGATTCTGTTATAGGTGTTATTTCTTTTTGGTCTTGTGACTTGTGTGTTAATTTATTAGAGGTCAAATTTGTGTTGTTTGTCCTGGAAATTCATTATCCAAAATGGGAATGACACCGTGTGGTTGTCCTTGTGGATAGTAGTTTTTAAATCCATCCGTCAGCGGTTTAGCCGTTAATGGAATCATTGTTGGTTATGGACCGGGTGAAAGAAAGTCTAACAAAGAAGAGAAGTACCTGCATAAGCTTCGGCATGGGAGTCACGAAAGAGTACACCTCAGGAATAAATGAATTGAAACAAGAAGTTTGGGTTATACATATATTTCTCGTCTTGTTTAAAGAGTTTGTGTACTGATAGACAGGACCAGCTAAAGAAGAAAACTAGTCATATCTTGGATGATCAACCTTGATTGGCTTTGTAGTGTATCCTTAAATTCGTGCATCTCTTGTGTAAGTTGGTTTCCTCTGGTAGTTTCTTTTAGCTTGTTTTGAGCTAAGATTTCGGAAAATAATAGTAATGAAGTGACTTAAATTTGATTAATGTCATAAAAGGTGTTTCCAGGAGACCATGAAGTATTTGACCACTCGGACTATATGGGAAAAATGTAATTTCTCACCAGTGATATCCTAGAGATAAAAGCATAACTAAGTCTGCGTGTATGAGACAACTGATATGTTTTCTTTTTCTATTTTTTGATTATTACTTTTTCTTTTATCTTTGGGCTCTTGTGGTTCTTGGATCCGTAGTGATGATCATGGTGAAAGTTAATTTAAGTTATATGTGCTATTGCAATCCCAATACAAAACTGGAGTTCGATTCATATATGAGCTGTAATAAAGCAATTGTAGTAAGGGTTGAACAAACTAAATTTTCGACAACATTGATAAAAACATGACAAACTCAATTTCGATCTATATATTTGTCTTTTATGATGTATAACGTGATTGAAAATATAATAGAGGTTAAACATGTTGTCGCTACTGTGTTAAAACACAAAATCAGAAAACTGTTAGAAGAATAAAAGAAACTGGAAAACAGTAAGATAAGAATATCGAGTCACAATTTGCNACTCAACTCATAGAGGCATCTGATGGATCTGGCTTGAAGCCTCACTTGGTCTTAAAAGATATTGCTCGAGGTCAAGTCAACCCGTCAATTATGGACGTAAAGATTGGTTCAAGAACCTGGGCACCTGAAGCATCCCAGGAATACGTCGAGAAGTGCTTAAAAAAGGATCGAGAATCATCAAGCCTTCCATTAGGATTCAGGATATCAGGGTTGCAAATCTTTAGAAGCAAAGAATTAGGCTTCTGGAAGCCGGGAAAGAAAGCTGCTCAGAAATTCTCTACAGAGGAAGTCAAGTTAGTCCTGAGAAGGTTTGTTTCCTCAAACACATTAAATGACTTGGATCTGGAACCAGACTGCGCTCTGGCGTCAACTGTCTATGGCGGCTCTGCTGGCATTTTATCTCAGTTATTAGAGCTGAAAGCTTGGTTTGAAGATCAAACTATATATCACTTCTATGCTTGCTCAATTCTGGTGGTCTTTGAAAAAGAGCTGGCATTGGAAGGAAGGAATCCAGGTGCTCAAATCAAGCTGATTGACTTTGCTCATGTTTACGAAGGACGAGGTGTGATTGATCATAACTTCTTGGGTGGTCTCTGCTCGTTGATAAAGTTCATTTCTGAAATTCTTACTGCTCCTAATGAGGGCAAAACAGAAGTCTCTGCAAAAGATGATCAGAAGAATCTTACTAACACTGATAATGGTGTTGTAGCTGACCAGGAGAACCTTATTAAATCTGGTAATGGTATTGTCGCTGATCAGAAGAACCTTACTAGCACTGATAATGATGTCAGCTGAACCACACCATGATTTTCCACTTGCACGCGTTTTTTAAGATTTATTTGAAGCGTAAAGACGAGCAACGACATTTTTTATTTGATTGATTTGATGTTGCAAGCATAATTCTGTAGTCATTCTGTGTGATACTTTTTGCATATTTGAAATTTTCAAGTGCCCAAAATGATTAAGTTATTTAATAATGGGGAAGATCATAAGGATGTTATGTGAAAGGTGGTTTGGGATTGTTACACATATAGCCGGCCAGGTTCAATGATTATTTTTTTTAGCTGGTTTACATCGATTATTCCGTGATTATACACATTTATGCATATACTAGTATTTATAAACGTGCGTTGCATGTTAGTAATGATACATGATGATTTAAATATTTATTTATACGAAGGAATAATAAATTTAATTAGTGAGAGAAATTTTATATATAATACTATAATAATCATCTAAATACCGAAAAATATTGTTGCATTAGCATAATATGTGAATTCAAAATGAAAGGATATCATCAGAACTTACATAAATGATCAATTTTAGTCATATTAAATAGATAATTATGTATTGTAGTTTAAAGTTACCTAATACGATGGTATCTTATCGAATACTTCTTTATAGAGAGTGTTTTTTTTTGTATATGTTTCTTCTAATGCTTTGGTTACTCTGCCATAATCAAAACTCTTGTTGTCGATAATTATCTCTCTCTTGAAAGTGCAACATATAGTTATTTGTATAGGAAAATATATTGTGGTAAATATTGTTCAATATTTAGGATGATTATCCTTGTGTTTTATTTATTATAACTTCAAAATATAAATATACTGAAAATTATTTTCACACAAATCTAAAAGGATATTCTTTAGTTTCGGAAGACGAGAGTTGAATTCGGGGATACACACATACTTAGAAGCATATTGACCAGTATCATAAGTTCTGCATGTATGACATTATTGTCAAAACTTCTATAAACCATATGTGTACTATTACATAAGCTATGCGGCGGGGATCTAAGTTTTTAGTAGCATGACATACATATTTTTCTCCAAAATCAACCTATATGCAATGGAAGATCAATTTTAACTTCGTCTATTATATATATGGTGACACTAACATACGTAAAAAATAATGAACTTGACAACAAACATGTACGATAGAAGACCATTTGGTATTAAAGTATTCAAGTATTCTTCTTAATAGTTATTGTTGGTATCATCTTCTGCTGAGTCAAAACTGAAAAATATTTTTATTTTTACCATAAACTTAGCAATCACCGTTTTATTTAGTCAATCAACATTTCATTTCTGCTAGCTAAAATAACTCTTTAATTTCTATCATGTAATATGTACAAACTGCATTTAATCTAATGATGAAAATATATATTTTCCTTATTAAATGCACTACTATTACCACTGGGGTTGATAACCAAGTGTTCTAGAAGAATCAAATCATCATTTAATGGATGCTCTTATTCGTTTCCAACACGGAGCAAGAAGTCACTGAATGTTGGATCTGTTCTTACTTTTATATTTCTTGTCATTTGAATATTTTTCATTTGAGGTCATAAGTATAATTTGGCAAGCTAGCTTTTACATTTTCTGCTTTGGTCAATTTTGGAACTACTAGTCGTACTTGACAGAAATCACCTCCCAAATTATTACTTTTCCACCAAACGATTTATAGATATCCAATATTTCTCTAAAACTCTATGCGATTGTTTCGATCGTTTGACGCTTAGCCAAATACGCTTCATCTATATTATCACTTTTGCTTTCCTTATAAATTTAGCACTATTACTCTGATTTGATATATTTGTGATGGTTATTTCAGTTATTTGAAAAGGTATATCAAATCTAAAGTGAGTTGTACGACCTCATAATAAAATTGTTGCTGGTACACTATTTGCTCTTATTGCTAACAACATAATGCATCTTGATTTGACATTTGCAAGTAATGCATGACGTAGAAATATTATTTCGATTCCGTCGGAGGCATCTACAAAGGATAATCCCGCTATACGAGAGTCGATTTTTAATAATATAGTCTTGAAAGCTTATTTTTGTTCAGGATTTAGCTTTGATTGTGCTTCCTCAAACACTTGTATGGCCTTCTTAATATCATACTAATTTTTTTTTACTTTGTCATCTATTTTTTTAAATCTCTAACATTCTTTTTTATGGAATAAATTTATGTATCGTAAGATTTTTTCTTAAACTTGAAAAATGATTTTACTCATATGATGAATTTAAAAAATAATTTAATTGGATTCTCTTGCTAAATAATCATGGAAAGATTTGATTATTTTAGTTTTAGCATAAAATATAATTTAGTTTCTGTTGATTTAGATTCTTATTATTTGTTCATCTCATTTTTGGATATTTAACCGTGATTAAAATTTTATCCATCATAAATTTTATTTTTGAAGAGTAGAAATATTGATAACATTCCACTTTTAGATCTTTATGTTTGTAAAATCATTAGTGGTATTGGCTCTTACCAATATTTTTCTTTATTTTCTCACACATTTATATTCTTAAAAAATTTCTTAGTTGTTCTTTAATAATTGGGTATATTTTTCTATATTACACGAAAAACTTATAATAAAAAAATATTATTTGAGTAGGAAAGCGGTTCAAATATAATATAATAATATTATCTCCGTTTAGCGTTACTTTTTTTTTATTGAATATTATAGAGTGGTAATGTATTACGAGTATGGAGGATTCTTATGAAATTGATTTTATTAAACCTTCCTACATATTTTTTATTAGAATTCAATAGACAATATTGTATTAATTTAAAATCTTAAATATTAAAAAAAATTAACATAGAAGTTATTGTAGTCCAAGAAAAAAATAAGTTATTACAGCTATGCCATTTTCCTATGAGTTCTTCAATTTAATATTTTAGAGCTATTTTGGTCTATCAATATTATATCCGTGCTTTTATAATCATATATAGGCTCTCCTGTTTTTAAATGGATTTGGCAATATAATACATTTTCAAATTAATTAGTAATAGGATTTTTTTAAGAAGTATATCCTAAAAGTGATAGGATTACAAGGCTAATATCTATTCCCAAAAATAATTATACTAATAGGATTCATAAAGGTAATCATGTAGATTCCTAACGTGTAATATTATGTCCTAAAACTAATATGATTACAAGGCTAATGTCTAGAATTCCGATTATGTCCTTTTATTATGAGTTATTATGCATAATATTAAAAAGTTATTTTTGTAATCCAACATTTTATTCCGATAGGAATTTGAGAGTCAAAACCTACATCAAAAGTAAGAAATAATATAACTAATTGAATTTAGAAATTAAAATACTTTAAAGGATTTGAAACTCTAGAGTTGCCGACTCTAAAACTGAAATTATTGTATAAACAGAAAAATAAGATAGTGTTGTAAATAGAATTGTATTTATAGTGAATGTCTATATTTAGAGAGATTCTAGGGTTCATTGCTTGGTGGCTAAGTCACCCTCTCCCTATAAATAGAGGGTTCTATTCCATTGTAATTCATCCCAAATCAATAAGAATTCTCTCCCTCTACTTTTCTCTGCACTACTCTTCTTCTTCTTTTATTGTTTTATAACACGTTATCAGCACGAGACTCTAACCAATTGAGTAGAAACTTTGGGATTGAGCATAATGATTGTCAATTGTTCCATGAACTTCCTTCATGATTAAATTCTGAATTTAAGGTAAGTATCTTACTTTAATTTTCTCTTTTAGATTCTTGACATTCTATAATTTGATTTTAAATACAAGTAAAGACAATAAATCTTGATTTTAACTCTAATGGAGTTTAAAAGAAATTATAACCACCCGAAGTGGTAAAATTTCTATGTCTTGCCATGATCAAATTCAGGTATGATTGTGGGCAAAGAATTGAAAACTCGTCCCATTGAATTTGCTCCATTCTCATTCCCTTAAGAGAATGTGATAGCAATATGTAATAAGTCTGAAAGAAGACAAAATTATTACCATAAAGGTATCAATGGATGTCGACGTAGTAATAGACGAAATTATAATCATCATTATCGTGGCAATGAGAATAATAAGGATTCTCAAAATAAGCTTTCACTCTATGAAGTTAATGTTTGTCATCGATTTGACATAAGATTTCGTAAAGCACATATAGATGACTATAGTCAATTCATGATGTGAATGTGACAACATCTGATTTATGAATACATATTCATTTTTGGAAGAATATGAACGTGCTAGTGGTAGTGAATTGTCACGACCCGGAATTTCCCACCCTCGGGAGTTGTGATGGCGCCTACTACTAGAAGCTACACAAGCCAAACCTTAATTACTTTTTTTTAAAACAAATATCGGCAATCGCATGCAAACGATAGAATTTAACAATTAAGCGGAAGTCTTAAATTAAAGAATCTGAATAAAATGCAGAAGTACAACATAAGTCTCTACCCAAGAACTGGTGTCACAGTGTCACAGACTATCTAAGATCTACTACATACAAGGTCTGACGAAAAATACAATAAACTGTCTCTGAACAAAAGATAATGAAACAGTGAATGAAGATATGGGGAGACGCCAGGGCCCGCGAACGCCTGCAGGTCTACCTTGGGTCTCCGGGTGGACTGAAGGAAGCCCTCCAACTACGGATGCTGTCCAATACCCGGATCTGTGCAAAAGAGCACAGAGTGTAGTATCAACACAACCGGCCCCACGTGCTGGTAAGTGCCTAGCCTAACCTCGGCGAAGTAGTGACGAGGCTAGGACCAGACTACCAGATAAACCTGTGTAGTTCAAATATATATATATATACAACGGAAAGAAATACAGGAAATAAACAGTCAATAAGGAAGGGAGGGACATGCTGTGGGGAGGCAACAGTTACAAATAGGAAACCTCAATATAAAGCTAGAAGCAGCCCAAGAATTTACAGCGAACCAAGAAACGAATATCCAAAATAAACACACTTGAATCAACAACTGTTGCGGCGAGAAACCCGATCCTAATACATAACAACACTGTTGCGGCGTGCAACCCGACCCACGTATATCATTGTTGCGGCGTGCAACCCGACCCATAAATATCATTGTTGCGGCGTGCAACCCGATCCTCAAATATCATTGTTGCGTCGTGTAACCCGATCCTCAAATATCATCATTGCGGCGTGCAACCCGATCCTCAAATATCATTGTTGCGGCGTGCAACCCGATCCTCAAATATCACGTGGTAGG